CAGCCATGGGTTCAAAGCTGTATTCGCCTGGGTGATCAATTCCAGAAGTTTGCGTTGAACCTAAAAACACTCTTGTCCCATGCTCCAACGCAGGTGTCGTGCCCTGCGTTGGGCTCATAACCTGCTGCTGATGTGCAGGTGCTCCATATGAGGAGGTAACAAGTGGGTTTGCAAAGCCCCTAGTCTCATCCCCAGTGTCCATGGCGCACACAGCACAGCGGAGGTTTCTTTTACGCAGCACACATGAGAAAGTCTTGGTAAACTTGGGCTACAACACCTACATGTTGAGCTGGGGCATGCAAAGTAATACTTAAAAGTGCTCATGGCTCATGGCCTCATGACGGTGCCTAGGGCCAAAAAGCAAGTACAACGCAACATAAATGTAACAGGACGATGGAAAACATGACTGCTCAGGAACAGTACATTTCAGTAGGGACCCTAAAAAAGGCACGCCTACTTTTGGGGAACCTCCCAGCAGCGACAGCGCACTGTCAAACCCCGAAGACATTGCAATGGCGCAGGGGGAGGACAGGCTTCCCGCGAGGAGACGCTCGTTACGACTTTTTTTCCAAGAACCAAGTTTCAAAAGGACATGGCCAAGGTGGCTTCATGGAGAACAGCTCTCCGAAACAGTGTAAATCCTAGAGAGACGTGCCAAGTCTGCGAGCACGTCTTGGCAACTCATGAGATGGATTCAGATAGGTTGTGGGGTTTCACTAGCACTTTGTGAGGCCTTTAACCCCAGACTGTGCGTTCTACTCTCTGTGTGCTGTTCCTCTGTGCATTGCTAGGTAGTCCTGCCGTCATCAGCAGCAAGCCGTCATCGTGTCTCTTGCTCCTCACGCCGAGCGTCGGAGTCTCGATGGGATGAAGAGCATCCTCCCGGTCTGCTCGAACTCCGCCTCGCGGCTCACGTTCCGGGAAAACGCAGCGCTTCTTCGTCACAGTCACAGCTCAGGCACCTTGTCCATGCGGAACTGGCCACCGAGCACTGCGTTGCTGGGCAGGCAGTCACCGAAGCGAGGCTGGACGGACCTTCAGTGCTGATGGGTCCAACTGGGTCCAAGTGTTTGAGAGCTGAGGCCAAGGCCGGTCCAGCGCAGATGCCGGCTCGCCGCGGAGGAGGACGCAAACCTCGCGGAGTGCCTTGTAGTGCAGCCAAAATGGCTCCGCAGGATTTTGGTCGTCGCGTCTCCGTTTGCTGCAATGCTTGGATCCCGGACAAAGAAGGTGCTCACGAAGCAGGCCAGAGTCTGACCTAACGGGATGCTCTGTACGGGGCCTCCTTTTCTCAAAGCTGTTGGCAGCCTTGCTGGTAGGCGAGCACAGCACTGGGCTGTGGAGGCTGCTGCCCGCAGCGACAGTGGACTCGGCGCATACAGGCGAAGCACGACGAAGCGCACGCACAAAGCCAAAGTTGATGCGCAGTTTTAGCCCCTCTGCTGCCACACGGTGCCTTCAGCAGCCCAAGGCACTTGCCAGGCCTGGCGTCATAGCAGCATGTCTTGCTTAGGTCTTCCGTTCCAACTAAAGGCTGAGGTGCCCAAACGGTGGCCCCCAGCAATAGGCGCAACCGGCCCGCAGTTTCCAGAAGGCTGGCGAAGCCTCCTCCTGGGCTCCTGAGCTCGGCCCAAAGGATTCGAAATCGCACCCTTTCACTTTTGCCTCCTGCACTAAGCTCAGCGCCGCGCGCGAGCCCACCCGCCGCGTAGATGGCAGCCTCAAAGCCCAGCGAGGCCTGGAACTGGAACTGAGAAGAAAATGCAAAGCTCAGAAGCTGCCTGGGAGCCTTTGCCTGCAGCACAGCCAGGGAAAGGAAGAGGCCACCTTCTGCGTTGGTTTGGAGCCACTGCTCCTTAAGAAGCGTAAAGATCAGCAACTTGTTGCTAGGTCCGCTAGGTGTTCTTGGCTCCCGGCCTTCAGCAAAAGGACATGTCCAAGGGACACAAAGGCGTAGACCAGGGTGGCCACCTCGGTTAATCTGACAGCCTTCTGCCTTTTGCATAGCTCTTTGTTTGCTCTTCAAAGATGCCAACGGGTCGTGCCCACCCAGGCTGGACCAGGCGTGCCTGAGTTTGAACTGGAAGCCCACCATCACCGAAGGCAGCCGCGCGACGCCTCCTCGCTATCCTGCTGCTCCAAATCCTTTCCAACCTGGCAAGAAAAGAATGCAGAGGAGCGCAGACCTGAGGTCCAGGCTGCGAGCACATCAGCTTTGCCCTTGTCGCGCTTCTTTAGTGGATCCTCGGATGACCGCCTCACACGCGGCCACTTGCAAACACCTTCGTCTCCGTGAACAGACCAACAGCCCGGCATGGAAAGCTCGATGCCGCCATTCACCTCAAGCTTCCCGTTGGGCCATTGCACCTCGCCCCTCTAGCACAAGCGCACCTGGCCTCGTCCATGGCTCCACATCGACTTCATGGGCAGCTGACGCGTGCACGCTTGTAAATCAACTGCTTTCACAGGAAACGAGTTGGGCTGGCTGGTTGCAAGGTATGTTTGTGATGCTGAATAGCCGTGCTCCATCACGCCAAGCTTACGCAACAAATGCTCTTACTTGTGCTGCTCCAACTTAGGGCCAAGCAAGCTTTGGAATGCCATGCCTACGTCTCGCGTGACAACCATTCTAAGCTAGCATGACCCTAGTGCCATCACCACCATGATAATCACCTCAATTTGCAAATCTGCCGACAACGTGGGAGAGGCCTGACATCAAGTTCGCTGAGTCGGCCACGATGATGCAAGCGTTTCCGCCCTACTTCCTCATTCCTCCCTGCAAAACCCTCCCATAAAACAACTACACACAAATCCATTCCAATCGTCGCCTCAGTTTCATACTGCCTCTTCTTCTGAAATGCGAAACGGACAAATTCTAACGTGTACGTCCGCTATTGATGCGTAGGGAACATTAACTTGAAAAACTAGGCTCCGAAATTGTAGCCATACATCAGGGCGTTTCCTTCCCAGGCCTTACAGCTCTGTTTTTTGAAGCGTATTTGTGGCAAATAGAAGCAAGCAAACGAGCAACACCAACGACTGGAACATCCTGATGCACCGGCGTAACACTTGTGAGGCCGGACAACTCAGATTCCCAGAAGTGACTTCAGATGCAATGCTCATGCAGGACACTACTTGACATGATTGCGAATGTGGAGTGTAGAAGACTGTAAGCGAAAGATTAATTACCTGTCAGTCTTAATGATACTTCTGCTGGGTTGCTGTTAAGGAAGTGAAATTAAGTCACCACGGTGCGGGTATACAGTAACTGAATAATAGGGTTTCCTTACCATACTGATTCAATTTGCGTGGTTGTCAGCTGACTTACTAATAGCTCGTCTACACTGCGCGCGAGTAGGAAAACTAGGGACCATGACACACAAAGCCACACTTTTCGTCTTGCTCATGTCCTGGCTGCATCCAAAGCGAAACGGCAGTCCCACTTCACAGTCCACGCTCGGGGGCTGCACAAAACGGTCAAATCTAAACCAACATTGCCCTATGTGACTTGAAATCATGGAGTGCTTTTTTCCGGGGCCATTAGAGCACGTTCTTGCTTCGGAATGAAATCTGAAAATGCATGAAATAGTGTCTTCACCGGCTGCGCTGTCACTTGCGCATCCACGGACTCTACAAGGAGTCGCACAGCTGTCCCGAAGTTGATGAAATTTTGTCAATGACATCAATCCTGCCTGAACTGTTCCTCCTTCTTCAAATCCCAGCACTGTCGCCGTTGGAGTTGTTTTAGGCACCACACATATCTTGCTGCTGTTGCAAGTGCCATTTGTGCGGGGACTTCAGGACAGCACCTGCTACAACAGCCATCGCAACATCTGAGTCTGTCGGTAGGTGCCCCGAGCTCCAGCCTCGATTTGAAGCTGCGACATTGACTGCTTCTGCAGGCCAGAATCTCAGATCTCTTACCTCATAGAGCCGGGAATAGGATCAGCCGGGTTTATGTTGAGGAAAACAACTGAACCGGAGAACGCACGCCCAAGGGCACCTGCCTTGATGTCCCCAAGGGGCTGGAGGTGGTTGCTAGGGCATGTGGGTCGCATTTGGACCTATAAAGCTGTTGTCCTCTAGTCCAATCGAAATGAAAAATTGCCAGGAGAAGGGGATGAGTAGGGTCCCCTCACAGCTGTTGCCACAGGCCCCTGAGCAGGGACCTCAGAATTTCAGAATCCCCACAACTCCCAGGTGAGACAAAGATTCTACCGTTCACAGCCAAGTCTATGCGGCTAGTCAGGTTGAATGAGCCAAGAATCGGAGATCATCTTAGGGGGACGCTTTCGGATCTTTGTTGGATCCCAGGGTCACGGTATGCTTGCTTGCACACACTTCTGTTTGCAAGAGTGGCTCATAGGCTCAGTCCTCCTGGTTAGCAAGGAACAGGCACTCACGCTGTCAATACAACGCAGCACCCCCACGAGTCACAACCACCCATTTCGCGTAGACATGTCTTCACGCTTCAGCTGGCAATGTGAGGTCTTTCCACTTTTAGAAGTACCTCGTTGTCCCTGGGCGGAATGGGTCCACAACCTCAGGTCGAAACTATGCGAGATGCCGGGCTGCCTTCGGCACAGTCCGGACATGTGCGAATGTCAAAATGCTGGGCAAATTGTTTGGGCAGGACTTCCAAGTATTGAGAAGCACCTTTTTGTGCACCCAAAATACCTGAACCCCCAAGCTGCCTTTCCTCCAGACTTGCCCACATTTTGACAAGCTCTTCAGGTGAAACTGGAGGTCAGGGGGTTCCTGGCCCCATGGCACTCCAAGCAGGACCATGGCCGCTGTCAAAAGCAGGTCTCAGCCAGAGCATGGTATGGTTTTGCATAGCATTGCACTTCTTGAGGGCTGCTCCCAGCTTTTCGAACCCCGTTCTGAAATCGGAAGCCTTGACCTCGCTCAGAGTATGCGGATGAGATTCCCATCACACCTGCTCTATCGCTACTGCTGCTGGCATTTCTTCTGATGCTTACTCATTTCTGCTTCCTTGTTTTGCCTACTTTAAATTGCTTTCCTCCAAGCATGTCCCTAAGATGCAAGGATTCTTCTGGCAAAGACCCCCGAACACCCCGTCTTCCTCATCATTATGATGATGGTGGTGGTGATGATACACGGCCAGCAATGGTAGTAAGGAGATAATAGCACTGGTTGCTGAAGCTCCCCCGTCGCCCCGGTCGAATCTGGATAACATCTTTTGAAAACCCATGGCTTTCTGGCCTGGGCTTTCAGGCCTTGAGCTGGTGACAGCGTGGACTAATCAGCGGATGGCGCCTGCTGAATTTTCAAGCGGATATCGGGCTGAGGACCAGCCGGTCATGCCTCCGTCTGCACTGGAGCTTGTCTCGGATCTGCTGATCTGTTAGGTCCTGGGCAACCTCGGAAATTGAACTCCGCCTACGATGTGTGCTGTGTTGTGCATGCTTGCGGCTGGCCCTTGTTGCTAGGACCTCTCGGGCAGGGTGGTGCACTGCTGCAAGCAGGAACGAGCTCTCCAGACCCTGTATGCAACCTATGCAACCGCAACTCACCCTAGGCCCCATGCTTGCTTTGCAAGAGCTCGAGCTCCCACCCTGCTGCAAAGGCTCTTGATTGGCCTCCTTTTGTGTTCAAGCCTCTTGTAGCTAGGAACACCATTTGGTCCATGCATTGAATAATCCGTTGGCAAGTCCGGGTAACTTGCGATGCGGCCTTTCACTGCCGCATGTACGTGGCTTGATTCCAGTCTAAGAAGACCCTGCGAACGATAAGACTCAACAACGAAGGGCCGCTAGTCACCCTGGTCTTGGAAGCCACGGCCAAGCAGCAGTGCAGGTGGCACCGACAGCTCTGGCCATACGAGCCACTGCGTGGCTCCGCGTCCTCCGACCCTGGTTGCATGAAAGGTGCAGGTCCCGGGGCGCCAATATGTGCCAATATGTGCCAATGGTCATGTTCATCAAGCAGCTTGACACATCCTATCGACCGCCGCCCCCGCACTCGGGGAATGGAGGATGCGCAACGGCTGATAATCTGCTTAGTACACAAGCTAACAAGCCAGGCATCTCCTGGACCATGAGCGCATACCTCCTGCGCTCTGCCAACGGGGATGCACTGGCAGCGTGTACTGGAAAAAGCTGCAGAAAGTTCCCGCCCACCAGCAAAAACACGTCAGGCTTTCACAGCACTTGAATGTAAGAATGTAATCACACGTCGGGGTTGCGCAGGGATTTCTGCCTATAGCCAATGGACTCAAAGCATTGGCCAGTAGTTATAAGCATCCAAATTGAAGTGCCTTAGGCACGCAATTACGGGGGCTGCAAAGCGTCATAATGCAGTCCACCTTGGTAGAGTACCTCGGTGTCCGTAGAAAGAATGCAAGACCGCAATGCCAGGAAAGGCCGCAGCTGCGTGAACTTGTTTTGCAAAGCGACGTGTTGAGGTTTCAAACATGACAACTACAAATGCCCACTTATCTGAGGACAGAGCATGGACGGTGCGAACATATCGATCCTGGAGTCAGATGTGATGGCCACAAGCGCTGAGTACATTTGAACCTGAATCCTTGCTCCTCTTGATGGCACTAGAGCTAAAATACCCGCCTCTCCTGCATCCTACAAATGAGCACATTACTATCACTGAACTTCGTCTCTAGCTGCAGCGAGCCTGCTTTGGTGCGTCAAAGCACGAGATCCGCTTGAAGTCACAAGAGTTCCTGCACTGCATCTATCAGCCAGGCATCTCGCCACAGAGCCAGGTCATGTCACGGTCTAGAGATGTGCGATGCGTGCAGTGCTGTACAATCTAGCCACGGTTCCATACTCTGATTCTGCCACTTCACTGCCACAACGAACTGCGCTGCCGTTCGTCCTGCTAACGCTCTCGTAGACGTGGATGTTTACATTTTTGAGATGAGAGCAGCACGCCTTAGCTCCAGCTCAGCATGGTCTATTTCTTCCCGAAGTCTTGCGAGACCAAGCCTAAGCCCTCCAACTTTACATCCGGATCTGGGGCCAGAGCCATCTCGATGCCACCTCCCCATCCGGACATACTCTGACGGCTGGCGTACCTGGAGTTCAGTGCACCGGGCAAAAATGCAGACACAAGAACCTCAGCAGTAAAGCCGCCAGGGGCTGCATAGTAAACCTTACGTCACGAAGGTGACATTAAAAGAAATTCGTTGCGATGCGCAGGGGCGACCTGCACGAAAGCCCCATGGGCACGTATCCACCGACGAGTTGGAATCCCATCGAACCCATTCCTCGCCGGGTGATTCTGGACCCATGCTTTATGGCACTTATTAGGAGGTACGGGTATCCACAAGGGCGGATCCACTCCCGTGTCCTCCAAGGTGTCACCCGCGATTTCGAGGCTGGGTCTATCTCTAAGGAACTGCGCAAGCTCACGACCTCAGGAGCTT